ATCTTGGAAATGGGGTAGGAGATAAGTTTTAACCTCTGAAGATTTGGACCCTGAGATTGAAATGAAAAAGAAATAATCCTAATAATAACCACTATACTGATTCTGCTAAGCATCACTGTTCTGCCTTTTAAAGCCCTGCATTGGTATTTAACTTTTCCAACAGGCAGATTCTTTTTATGAAATAAAGTTTACTAGTGAGGAAACTGAGACTTAAAGAGATTAAGAGACTTGCCTAGGGTCACCTAAGTACAATGGCTTAGACAACGTTGGCACCTAGTACGCTATAGTTAAGTGAGGGCGGATTGCCATGGTCAGCAGTCTAGCATCCGGAATCCATTCCCCCTTGTCCTGTAACCATTCTTGCCTCCTATGCAGTTGGATGGAGTGGACCCTGTTCTTTGGCTCCCAGGGTAGCCACATGGCCCAGGCTTGATGAAGAGGGCGCATCATCCTTTGATGACAGAGATGGGCTTACACATGGCTAAGTGACCCAAGCCAGGATCTGAGCCCTTCTAGACTTTCCAGGAAAGAGGATCTGCCTTTCTGTGGGGCTCTTGAGACCACATGACTCAGAACTGCAAGTACTGAGGACATCTCTGCTACTCTGTAAGGACATTTGTACCAACAAAGTCCTTTATCTTTGATTTTTTTTTCCTTACTGGCACCCAGAAGAATCCTACCTGAAATACAAGAATTTTCCCATGTACATAGACAAGAAAGTCTCAAACTCCCTCTCTATCCCCCTTCCCCTCCCCTGAGATTTGATCACTGCAGTCCTCATAAGGCTAAAAAACTCAGGCCGACCCTCAGCCTTTCCATTGGCTTCCTTCCTGATGACTTCTCTAATCAGAGGCCACAGTCTGCTGTTACCTGCATGGAGGAACACTTCTGTAACTCTCCTGTAATTCCCTTGTGCCTACAGGAAGATCCCAGTCCTGGGCATGGTGCCTGTGGACTGACTCTCCCTTGGCCTCCATGTTGATTTCAACTCCCACCACCACCACAAATCTTCTCTGCAATTTTATCCACCAGAGCTGTTGTCATTTCTGTTCACTGGGGACCCTATACTTTGTGGAATATGGTCTCCTTTCTTCCTGGCCAAAAGGCCTGTCACTACCATTCCCAGCCCTACCACCTTGGGTGAGTTGCCTCATCTCCTCAGGCCTTGGTAGTTCACCTGTAACAGGGGGATAATAAGACTTACAATGCAAAACTGTTATATTTAAATGAGCTAATCCATGTAAAAGGCTCACCACCATGCCAGGCACAAAGTCAGCCTTCCATGTGCACCCCTGTCCTTTCTGTGATTGTTGCTTATTTTGGTTGCATAGAATTTGTATATATGTGTTCTGGTTTGCATATGGGGTGGGGTGTCCCTCCACTAGCTCATGTGTTGAAGGTTTGGTCCTCAATGCAACTGTGGTCAGAGGCAGGTACTTTGGGAAGTGATTGGATCATGAAGGTGTTGATAAGTTTATAACTTGATCAGCTATTTGGAAGTGATGAATACTTTGAGAGATGGGGCCTGGTTGGAGGAAGTAGGTCATGGGGATGTGACCTTGAGGGTATGTTTTGTCCCCAGCCCCTTTCTCTTGCTTTCTCTCTGCTCTCTAATCATCATGAGGTGAGCAGTTTTGCTTTACCACATACTCCCTACCATGATGGTCTGCCTTACCACAGGCCCCGATATAACAGATTCAAGTGACCACAGATCAAAACATCTGATCCAAAATAAACCTTTCCTGATTTATGTTGATTTTCTCAGGTACTTTGTTACAGTGACAGAAAGCTAATCAATACTTCTCTCTTGTAGAGCTACTCATTTTATGCAATCATCAATGTGACTATTTCACCTGATAGACTGAACTTCCCAAGATAATGTTTCAACATTTTTTTTCTTTTGTCTTTTTGAAGCAGGGTCTCCCTGTAGCCCCAGCTATCCTGGAACTCATTATGTAGACCAGGCTGGCCTTGAACTCACAGAGATCCGAATGCCTCTGCCTCCCAAGTGCTGGGACTAAAGGCATGCGCCACCACACCTGGCTTATGTTTCACCATTTTAAAAAGCCCAGTACCTTGCACAGTGGCTTAGGCACAGAGGTACTGAGTTTTGACAACAGCACTGCCTGTTTGGGTACATGCTCCATACCAGCCCCCTGGCAGGTGTTTACACCTATTGCCTTTCTCAAGCTCACATCATTCAAGCCCCAAGGAATTTATTAATGTCCCCATTTTTTAAAAAAGAAATAAATCCAAATATTTAACTGCAACAAATAAATAGATTGACTTCAGTTTTTTGAGAGAAGAGAGGGTCAGACAAGTCCAGAATATGAAGCAACTGGACCAGCGTAGCAAAAGGCAGAGCTGGGATTCAGATGCCGAACGCAAGGGGGCGCACTCCGTGACTTGTCCATCTCTGTCGCCCCAGCTGCACCTGGGGAGGAAACCAGAATTCCCACCTCTTCCCAGAGCCTTTGAAAGCAAGGGATCAGTACCAGCCAAAGGAGGGTTCTATGCTCTCTCCAAGGAGCAGCTCCTCTACCCACACAGATTTCCACGGTGAACAGAAGCAGACACACAGATAGACCAAGTGGAAACAGCTACGCTTTAACCTGATCGCATCTTCCACCGCCTGCTCCTCCTTGCTCCTGCCTAAACTGCCTTCATTAAAAAAAAATTATTTATTATTTATTTATTTATTCATTTATTTATTTATTTATTTGTCTTTTTGAGACAGGGTCTCCCTGTAGCCCCAGCCGTCCTGGAACTCACTATGTAAACCAGGCTGGCCTTGAACTCAGAGATCTGCCTGACTCTGCTGGTATCAAAGGTGTGTGCCCCCATGCCCGGCTGAATGGTCTTTTATCAAACTCTTTTGGCTATGAATATTTCTTACCTTTCCTTTCTTGCTAAATGTTGCCTTTAACCACTCTGGTCAGGCTCAGGGATTAAGGCGTGTGCTACCACGCCCGGCTTTATTTATTATTTTTATTTTATGTGTATGCGTGTATTGCCTGCGTGTAGGTAAGTGCACCTGAGTCGTGCAATGCCCACAGAGGACAGAAGAGGCCATTGGATCCCCTGGAACTGGAGTTAGGGACAGTTGTTAGCTGCCATGTGGGTGCTGGGATTCGAACCTGGGTCTTCTGCAAGAACAGGCAGTGTTCTTAACCACTGAGCCATCTCTCCAGCCCCCATTTTTTTTTTTTAAACAGAATTATTTCATTAATACCTTAAATAGACTAAAATCTTTGGTGTGGGTAGTGGAAAGAAATGTCCACAATTTTAACTTGAAAACCAGCTGTAATAAAGCCTCAGCTCATTGTTTAATAATAATTAAAACAACAAAACCGCATCATTTTCTGATAGCCACAGGAGGAAAGCTTACAAAGAACACATCTCCATTGCAGTATGCAGAGGATCAGCCACTGAGGATTACCAGGTGGAACTCCCGTGCTTGGTATTCTAGCTGGTAAGCACCTTACAGGTAGGAAGACATAAGACTTGAGAGCAAAGGGTTCTGTATCAGCTCTCAGTTCCTCCACCTGCTTTTGGCTGATGCATGTCATAATTTTAATACAACATTCACATACACACCAGAAAACCCACATTGTGGCTTCTTGAGCAGACTGGGAAATAGACCAAAGCCTCAAAGGCCATCTTTTCCTTCATGAGAGAACAAACCCATCATCACACTGTTTGCAGTTACCACAAAAAATTTTAAACTTCATAAGGACACAATTTATACTTGCATATACACAAATCCTTAGCTATCTAGTTGCCTCTTTTCCATTAAATAAACTAATTCTGTTGGCTTAGCTATTTACTGTTTTAGCAATTATTTATTGTAAACTGAACTGCCTTCTTGCTACCTTTCCCCCACCACTTCCCTCCCTGTCTTCCCACCTACCCCAAGTCCCACATGGTCTTAACAATTTCATCTCCTGAGAGTAATCTGCCCTGGCTCTCAGGTCATCCCTATGACAGGTGGCAAAACTGACCTGAAAATGACTATCAGTGATTTCTGCTTTTTGCTTTCTGTCGAGAACAATGATGCATTTACCTGTCATGCAGGAAGTGCTCATTTACTGTTCACTAAGCAAATCATTTGGAAGGGCACCCCAGGGCCAGGGCTGGCTGTTTCCAGTCATGGATATGGAATCAGCTCTATCATAGGACAGCACAGCATACTGTCAGGGCATAAACTTTGAAGCCACACTGCCTGGGAAAATTACAAAATCTTTCAGTGTCCTCTTCCCCATCTTCAGAGAGAGACTAATAATGAATGCAGCTTTACTATTTCATGGGTTTTTGTGATTCTTATCATAGATGTCTACGCCAGTTGAGAACTGGAGGGATCAACCCAGGATATTCAGACCTTCACTCCCATGTCACAGATGAGACAACTGATTTTTTAAGGAAAGGGTGTAGCCTGACATTCTAGCCTGAAAAATCTCTCAAGACCACGTACCTTTGCCACAACTTTTCACGCCATTCTTTTCAGAGATAGATGAAATGTGGAGCCAGAGAACAGCATTCCTTTCCTCTTTATTCATCATTCAAGTATTTATGGAGTTAACGCTTGATGCTCATTCAGAATGTATTTTTTAAATGAATATATGAATGAACGAATACAAGTTGACATGCCCCGTCATCAAGGAAAAACATCTGTTGTGTGGGTTTTCAAGTCCCAGGCTTGTGAGCCCTAGATCTTGTCTTTGAACCCATGGAAGACAGAACAAATCACAGAGTTTGCCTTTGCACTGGGTGCTAACTCGGCCCTCTTATCACAGCCCAGTATCAGCCATTCACACTTTAACCCCTCAGATGACGTCTACTTACCTTCCTCGGGGTGACCTCAGAAATCTCTTGGGTTATGTTTCCTTCTTCTTTTCTCTCTCAGCCACTTTTATTCTCTATTTCCTACCCTCCAAGCTTCTATCATCTTTAAAAAATGTGGACCAAGAGGTAAAGCCTTTTCCAGTTTGGCAGAGACGTACCTGAGTCTCAGGGCTCCTGCTTCCCTGTCTTAATGGAGAAGGGGAGGTGGTCCAGCTGATGATGCCTTGAGTCCTTATGGAGCCAACTGCCTCCTTGGCTTGGTGCTGATAGAGCAGCCCCCTGGTTCTCAAAGGAGTTGTGGCCTTTCCTAGTCCGGTTGCCTTCCTCTGGATGCAGCTGCCCAGAGAGAGAGACAAGGCAGGTCATTGGCCCCTCAAGAGGGCCATCTGTTCCTGGGCTGGCCCTGCCCTGGCTCTGCCCTCCTTGGAAAAGATTTGCCATAAACCCTCCCTGCCTCGTTAAACAACCTCACCAGGAAGAAGGAAGTTTAATTTAGAGCTCCCTGGGGAGGAAATGAGATGAAAGTCTGGTGTGGGCATGGGCAGGGTTGTACTGTTTTCTTCCCCACAGAGCTGCCCTAGCCTTCCCAGGGGACCCTTGGGTGAAGGCCTCATTAACTTAGTCAGGAATGAAGCCCAGTACCCCTGTAAAAAAAACAAACAAAACCCCAAATCAAAACAAAACAAAAACCACCCTGAAATAACTAAACCCAGGAAATACCCAACTAGTTCTAACAACTTCTCAAGCTGTGATTGAGGTTAGACAGGCAGAACTAACTGGTGAAGGAGCTGGTAGGGGTGTTGAGAGTCTGGACAAGGCAGGGGTACCTGGAGGAGCTCGGGGGAGATTGGTCTGGTAAGAGGACAAGGTGGAGCGGGGAGAAGTGTCACCGTCCTGGGCCTGCTTAGGAAAAGGGGAGGTTCGTTGATGAAGAGTGAGGGTCAGTGGGGAGAGGGGTGTGAAGACTCTGCATTTGGGTTGGAGCACAGTGAATTAGAGATTAAAGCTGGAGAGGGCAGAAGGGAGAAGGGGGGAAAATGATAGAGGGCAATTGTAGTAGATTTTCAGGGGAGGAGTGAATGGAGTATTGACCACCTTTCCCTAGGACTCAGATGTGCTTGGAGGGACTCGGCATCCCCAGGCTTTGCCACTTATGGAGACTCTGCATTCCTATGTCCCCTTAGGATGAGTTGTGGTCCAGAAGGACCGTTGGTCCTCACACACTTGGGCTGGGGGGTGGGGGGCGGGGCTTCCCCAATCTGTTGACCTCAACTGCTTCCCAAAAGGTTGTAAGACCCAAGCTTGGGATAAATATTTTGGGCCATAAGGTGCAATAGCTGGTCAGGAAATAAAGACAAGTGCCAGGAGCTGGTGCCTGGGAAGAGAAGGGAGAGCAGTGCTAGGGCACGTGGCTGGTGCCAAGGGCAGTCTGAAGGCTGCAGCTCTAGCCACCATCCCCTCATAAGCAGGGGGTTCCTGGGCACCTCCGCTCATAACCTCTCCTCTGCTGGCCTGGTCTGCCTAGGGCTGTGTGGTATCATTCACACCTGCCCTTCAGTGTCAGATCCTTATGGAGCTCCTCCCTTTTCGCAAAACAAACAGGCAAACAAGCAAATCATTGAAAACTGGCAAGTTATATAGAGCTTGCCTAGCATGCATGAGGCTCTGCCTTCAATTGCCAGGTCCCGGGGGTGGGGGTGTGGGGTGGAAAGAGGTGTGTGACACCTTCTTTGAAGGCCCTGAGAGGGGAAGGCCCTGGAAAGGAAAGTACCTGGGGAACCTCCTTTACAGGAGGTGAAGGTGTGAGGGTGGACCTCCTTGAGGACAGAAAATTGGAGGCACTGTACTGGTTTCCCAGGCTAATGTAATAAGTGACCTGCAAGTCTGGTGGTTTAAAACAACATGTGCTTATGATGTTACTCAGCTAGAATAAAGGAGCCAGCAGTACTGAGGCCCTTGCTGGAGACCAGAGAAGAACCTGTTTCTCATCTTTTCGAGCTTCTCGAGGCACCTTATTTTCATAGCGGGCACCTTTGCCTCTCTCTGTCTTCCTTCCTCCCAACCCCCCACTCACTCCATGCTTCCTCCCCCATGCTGTGACAGCCCTGGGCCCACCTGGATAATCTGAATAATACAGGCTCTGTTCAGACCAGTTAATGAATAAATTTAACCTTAGACCTTTATTTCCCCTTTCCTCAAAGCAGTACATATCCACAGATGGGGGGATTAAGATGCAGAATGTATGGGGTCATTCTGCTAGTCACAAGCACAGTCCTAGTTTATTTTGTGTAGAGCACTTAAAACATCCCAAAGTGATATTTTGCACTCTCATAGGACCAGAAAAGTGGTTGATCTCTCTCCTGCCCATCATAAAAAGTCATGGCAGACATCCTTATAATAAAAGGCAGATTAACAAGAAAAAACATTACATTTATAACATACATATGTATATTTGAGTTATATACAACTTGAAAACTCAAAGGGCCAGAAGGTCTGTCTTCATAGGGAAGGGGGAAATGGGGTGGGGCTGGGGTTGTGGGTGAAGAGGACTTCGAAGTAGACACAGGGTTTTATTATGTGTGGTCTGCCAGGCAATCGCCTGGGGTACGCCCCTCTGTGAAGAGCCCATGAAAAGCCTGTGTGGGTTTGATGATGACTTTCTGTCTTCTTTCTTTTCCCAAGGCTCACCATTCTGGCTTAGGGGATAGAGTCTCAGAGAACAGACGCAGTTTCAGACAGTTGCATTTTCTTTAGGCGAAGCTGTTTCAGAATGCGACCTTTAGCAAGAGGGCCCTACCCTGCACTTAAAGAAAACAAGCAAAGGTCAGAGGGACCTGCAGTCTGAGGTTGTTCTTCAGCTCAGCATGGCAGAATGTCATACTTGGAGGTATGGTTTTTTTTGGCCCCAACACTGGCTTTCACTTGTTGTCTGTCCTGCTCTACTGGGAAGTAAACTGTTGAGATCAGAGGACGCTGTATTCAGTAGACCAGGGTCTCCGCAGGTGCTCAGTGAAGTCTTGCCGAACGTTGAATGAAGCATGCACAGGTGCTAGATCACTCCTGCACTGCTGGTTACACAAGTCTGGGAGTCAGGAGCTGGGATCTTCTGCTATCCTGTGAAGGGACGTGATCTGGGGCCTCTGTGCCTGTCTCTGACTTTCTAATAGCAGCATTCTCTTCTACGGCTGGGGTAATCCCTTTGTGACAGGGCAGCTATGAGTATAGAATTAGAGACTATACTGGAAGCCCTTAAGGTGTATCTGGCTTGCAGTGTGTGTGTGTATACCCCAGGATAGCTATAAATGCAGTTCAACATAAAACTGTAAACTTTCTTCAAACACTGAGGGTTTTTCCTTTTTTTTTTTGGTAACATAATTGCTTGGTTCTTGAATGTGAACTTTGAAGGTGATGATGCTGCATTGCTGAAAGGTTGGATACCATACACTGAAAAGCTCAGTCAACCTGACTTGGGTCATCAGTGTTTCTAATTGGCGTAACATCACCTGCAATCAAGGATTCCCAGTATTGTAGTTTGCCTTCTGTTGCTATGATAAACATCGTAACTAAAAGCAAGTTGGGGAGGAAAGGATATTTCATCTTAAAATTATCTATCCCCGAGAGAGGTCAGGGTAGGAGCTCAAGGCAGGAGCCTGGAGGCAGGAACTGAAGCAGAAACCATGGAGGAATGTGGCTTAGTGGCTCGCTCAGCTAGCTTTTTCATATACTCAGGCCTACCTGTCTAGGATGCACCACCCACAGTGGGCTGGGCCCTCCTATGTCAATCAGCAATCAAGAAAATGCAGCAGCAATATACCCACAGGCCAGTCTGATGGAGGAAGTTCCTCAATTGAAGTTCTCTCTTCTCAGGTGATGCTAGTTTGTGTCAAGTTGATAAAAGCTGTGACATCAGTGAAAGAACACAGGATATCTTCTCTTCTGTCCCATATGACAACCCTGAACAAGTGAGGCTCTGTGTCAAATCTGGATATGGGGTCTGGATGGAGTAGGAGACCTTGAAAATGCAATGACTAGTTGTGCTCCAGCTTTAGTGTCAATTTGACACACCTGGGTTGAGGGAGCCTCAACTGGGGAATTGCCTTCATTGGACTGGCCTGTGGCCATGTCCATGGAGCACCTTCTTGATTGTTGAGTGATGTGGGAGGGCCCAGCCCACTGTAGGTGGTGCCATCCCTGGGCAGGTGGGCCTATGTTGAATAAGAAAGCAGGCTGAGCAGGGGCCAGAGGAGCAAGCCAGTAAGCAGTGTTCCTCCATGGCCTGTGCTTCAGCTCCCGCCTCCAGGTTCCTGCCCTGAGTTCCTACCTTGGGCTCCCTGATGAACTGTGTGTGATCCAGGAGATGTAAGATAAATAAACCTTTTCCTCCCCAAATTGGTAGTGGTCAGAGTGTTTTGTCACAGTAATGAAGAAACAAACTAGGACACTAGTATTTGACTGTTGATTCTCCGTTTCCTAGAGTGTGTTTGTTGCCAAAAGCTGACCCAGTGGTGAGACGAAGGTGGGGACAGTTACCATTTCTTTCTGTTGCTAAAGGCCTCAGGATATGGGCTCTGTTGATAGCTGGTCATATATGCTCAGTGAAGTTATAGGGTAAAACCTTATCTATCTTATTTAGTTCTAAAATCAACGTAAGTCCATTGTGGAAATTTTGGAAAATACCAGTTTGAAGGAAAAAATGATCAGGCAAATCCTCCTGGGAATGTTACTTTCATGGCCTGCTTCCTGCCCCGGTTGTGGTTTTTGTATTTTCTTTTCACTTGTTATAGCTGGGGCACTTCCTGTTATTAGAAATCTGTAGATATGTCTCAGTGCACACAACTGCACATTGCAAAGCACTGTGTTAATTTTCTTTAATGCTGGGTGTTTAGCCCTCCTGTGTGTGGGTGTGTGTGAGCACATTTGGAAACACTCCCACACACTCACCCACACCCAGGAGGGTGAGTGTGCGAGTGTGTTTCCAAACATGCTGCAATGCAGATAGACTGCAGTGAATCTTTTTTTCCCTTTTGTGATGTGTGTGTGTGTGTGTGGCACATGTGTGCAAGTGTGCAGGTGCAACAGTCAGAGGGCACCCTCCACTGTCAGTCTTCACCTTCCTCTTCCTCCTTACTTGAGACATGGTCTCTGGTTGGTTTGCCTGCACAGACCCCAGACTGAGTGTTCCAGTCTCCACCTCCTATCTCTCTGTAAGAGCCCAGAGCTTATAGACACACACCACCATGTTTGGCTTTTTTTCTTTTTTGGTCTTTTTGAGACAGGGTCTCCCTGTAGCCCCAGCTGGCCTAGAACTCACTATGTATTCCAGGCTGGCCTTGAACTCATGGAGA